AGTACCTCAATATTGTTGACCCGATCAACGTGCATGATAGTCTAAGCCACGGCCTACCTGACTGCAGCATCGGCAGCAACAGAACTTCGCTATCCAAAATTCGCCCGTTAAAGGGTTAATGAGTTTAAATGATAACGAGCTCAAAACTATATAGTGGAGAGAGGAAGATCTGGGCTATAAAGTGAGATATTTCTGAACTAATTATCTCTTAGGCTTAATTAACTAGGAATTGTACATTAAAACTCCATGTATTTGAATGGAGTGTCTCTATTTAAGGGGTAGTTAGAGACACTGTTATAGAGCTCTTTGCATTTTGCAGTTAGGTCACAATTGGTCGAAGATTTTCAAAAGATGTTTACATGAACGTGTATACGTGTAGAAAAATGTTTGGTCTACCACCGTGTTCAATACCAAGTTTTTTCCGACCAAAAACGGCCAAGAAATAGCAAAAAAACGACGAAACTTTCAAACAATGTATCTAATTCCTCCAAAGTACTCTAGCTGTCTAAATAAAGATACAGCATGTATTCGAATAGTGTTCTTATGAATGTCGAAAAATTCTGTTACTTCATCTCAAACTGTATAACCTGCACACACTGATGACTTGAAAAAAGGTATGCAACAAGAAAAGAAGTTATTGTGCGCAAAAGAAAAAGAAAAAACATGTAGAACAAACAAAAAATAATAGTTGAAAGCTCATGCAGATTTCAATTAGTGAACAATAACTACATCTGGTAGGAATTCCGATTATCAGAATTCAATAGAATCCACATGAATTTTTCACTTGTTTCAAACAATTTCGCCAATAAATCCTGAATAAAACTCAGCTTGTTTTTTGACCATATTGTATGTTTCAATAACAATTGCCATCATAGTACCAACTGATAGATAGTTGTGTTTTCGCTAGTCATAGCTTCCATTCAATAAGATTCATTTTTGTATTTTCTCATTCATTTTTTTGTTGTATGGTACATAAAAGATCTGTTGTTACCTTCTAAATTCCTAATACGTATACTTTCGTGTAAATGAAAGATTTTTTATAAAATGAGTATTCTATAACCTAAAGGACGTAAAAGCTTTGAAACTATTGTCTTCGAACTGTCTCTTTCACTAGTCTAGATTGAACAAAAGTATCTAGATTTATGGTACACGCATATGACGTCATCATTGCAATCTATACCTTTTTTAACACTGATACTTTCTGGACATTATTTATCTATGTATGATCTCATCTGAGTTCTATAGTTTCCTCGTGTATTTTTATTTGTTTTGGTGGCTATTTTAGATGTACTACGATTTATACGCATTTTTTTCTCTCTAAAAGCTGTTTGTCATTTTAATCTTCATTTTACAAAAAAAAGATGCTAAAATATGCCTGAAAAGGTCCATATCATCCATCAACATTGTTTTAATCCACCAAACTCACGGGAAAGCTAATTTGTTGATAACATACTTTGAACTTCCAGGAAGAGAGATCCATATTTGGTATCGATATAATTTGTTTTCACACTAAATAATAGAAGTGTAGCAATTTTTTTGAGACAATGAGAAGAAAATATGATTTCAAACCAGAAAAACCTATAAAATAACTTTTACTCATTAACAACCAACTATATAAAACAAAAAAGCAAATCGTAGACAAAAAAATTTGAATATTTTTCACATTTTGTTACCTATAGAATGTAGAACCTATCTTATGTGCATCATTTGACTTCAAAAAAAGTTACGACAATAACGAGAAATATATGTACAGTAAAAAAACATCTGATATTTGTAATTAGAAGTCAGTTTATATTTCCGTATTATCGCGTTCTCTCATTTAAAAAATATCGGTAAATGAGCAATTATAATAGATGAAATAAATAACGTAACAACGAAACATTGACTGGACGGATATTGATTTAAAATAATAATAATAAGTGCACGTAGCATCGTTAATAATAATGAGATTAAAGTAGTTTAAATATCTCTAACGATTATTTCAAACAACGGTTGTTGGACTATCATGTGCCAAAACAAGCTAAAGAAAACACAAAGATCATGATTAAAAAGCAAAAAATTGCTTTTGTGATATAATCGATCACTAAAAAAGTTCAAGCACCATCATGCCTCTATTTATTAAAAATTAATCAAGTGTAACAGAAGGTTTATTTAAAACAGTTGAATAATGATCCTAAACTTAATTACGCAAAATAATTCTTTCGAACGCATAGAAAATCAGATCACAGAATTCATAAATCTGACTGTGCAATGACGAATATTAATACAAAAGTTTTCCCATGATTACCATCAATGATGAAAAAAAAAAAATCTAGCAGACACCATATACAGATCGTTTCTCTTCACTAACATGCCAACTCTATTCATGCAGTGAAAGGAAAAAGCAAATTTTTATTATTCTAGAACGCACTTCATCTTCAATTGTATCCGTCAACGGATAATTTGTTCGTTGTAAACGCTAAAACGAGCAAAGCAAGCTGAATATTCACACACATGTTCAATATGTATTATGAACGATGTTGAACTTGAAACTATCGAGCTGTTAGTATTTGAACAAAAAAAAATTTTCATATTACTTTTAAACTTGGCGATATTCCATTTTCATTAATAGGACAGACTAAATCGTCTGCTTCAACAGATTTTGTTCGTCGATGAGAAAAGAGGCCTCTCGAAAACTAAAATAGAGAAAAATATACCAGTTGAATATGCATAAATTGTTAATGATTATTTGCTAATTAGGTCAGGTCTAATGATTTTACATTACACTTATAGGTTAATTTATACTGCAATTGCACACTCGTAAAAATTTGAACACCCTTCAGTTTATGAAGTATTTCTTCGATAATCATTTTTCAACAGGAATTAACTTAAACAGACGTCATTATTTATTAAGTTTAACGTGTATGATTGAAACAAGAAGTTAAGGATAGAATAATCATCTCGACCACTATAGTGCAGATAAGATTAGTCATCGTTCAGAACGTTTCAAATACGATCATTCCATTTTAGGAAAAAAATATTTTGTTCAAACAATCAACTACTACATACATAACAAACAAATATAAGTGATTCATCTGAATGATTTCATAGGAAAAGTAAATTAAATTAGATTATATAACAACGTTAAATTACTGTTCTAATAATGTTAAAACACTAGTCTTAATAGAAAATTTTACTTTGATCTTATATCAACTGATTATACAATAATAATAGAAGATAATATAATAATCACATTCAACTCATCTTAGTTATGGTTAATATGATCATTGCATAATAAACAACAACTAGTATGCAATGATTTATTTGAACTTTATTACTGTATATAATCAATAGTACGATCAAATATTAAATTAACACTGTTTATAAAAGTAATATATCTATTTCATCGGCTTTTGATCAAGTTTAGTATAGAAAATTAGACCAATGAGAAAACTAATGTTGTTACGTCTCATTTAGGTGAACAGATGGATATGAAAACTGGTACATTGAATGCAATACTCTATAGTGACTCGATTATTTTAAGTGCTCGATAAAAAAGCAGAAAAAGTCACATATTATACAAACAATGCATCCTTAATATGTAAAAAGTATAACATCAAATTAATAGAATATCAAACATTTTGTTAACTGGGGGTTATGATATATCTCAATATGTAACATATTCACTTTTGTGATTCTCTGATTATCTGTCGTATATCCACATATGTTTAGAGCAGTACTGTGCTATATAGATTTTAAGAACTCATTCTCACTACCATCAACGATCCTCTCGAACACACATTTACAGATATTTTAACATTTTACACATCTACTCAGATTATTTGATTCTCTGATTTATTCTCCATATCTGTATACGTGGGCGTCTATTTCAGCGAAGTATCGGTGAATTAGCTAATCACAAAAATCAACATATTACATATTTAGAATTGATATCCACTGGTTAACTAACAATTTTCATACCTTTATTTTCGTATGTGATGTCAACGGTTGATAACTAGTCGATTTTTCGTATTCATGTTTTCGATGTTGTATTTCAGCTCCTAAACGTATAGGCAAATTAAAATATAGAAGTGCAATCAAATATCAGATATATTTTTTGTACCGATCAATTCTAGAAATCTCATATTTAAATGTCGTCTTAATAATGTTTTTGATAATGGTATAGATAAAATTTCAGCTAATATTGTTGAATTAAAACGTGATTCTAAAACAATTAGTCCACCATGAACACCAGAACCACGTAAATTTGGTGCATATTCCGATAGATCTATTGATCTTAGCCATTCCATAACGCGATGATTTGTCCAATGCATAACTTCTGCCATATCATTTTTATCATCGTTCGCTGGTCGACGTTTTAAACAACTTGGATTAAAACCATTTAGTCTCAATACTTGAATAGCTCGTTTAATACTAAGATGATGTAATTCATTAGTTATATTTAAATACATTAAATCTTCCTACAATAAAATTTTATTTTTGGATTACATCATCTTGTTAACAGTTGACTTACAAGTGTTAAATTATGTAATAATCTTCCATCAACTTTTGATTCGGCAAAATAATCTTTATATTGAGGTAGACCTATATCATCGAGCCATTCTTAAAACAAAAGATAACTTATCATGTTTAATATTCAATAATGTTAAATGTGTGTGCTCACTTTGAACCCAATGTGTATCAAGCAAATTAATATAATCTGCTTCTACTTTACGAGCACATAAACCATTTAAACATAATTGAAGTTTCTTTCGATGTAATGGATTTCTCATGCCAATATCCTAAGCAATAAATAATAAATGCTTGTAAAAGTTTCTAGAATAGATTACTTAAATTATTAACTAGCTACTTTTTCAAGTTCTTGAGGTGTTGCTTGCAACAATTGCAGTCCATTTTTGACACATTTTCGACATTCATTCGCATACTGTCCTAGACCAATTCCATAAAGCCAATTAACAACTTGCTCTGTGGGCCATCGAGAAAATGTTGTTTCAAGATCACTACAACAAATTAATGAAAAATTATATACCAGTAACAACTTCAACAATAAAATCCAACATACTTGAGTGGTTTAAATGCAGTTCTTCCACCTGTTGTTGCTCGTAGTCCGCCTCTTTGAAATGGACTCTGATCAGAGTTGTCATCACGAAAACTGCCAGAATTCGTTCGTATAATTCTAGAAGAAAATAAATAGAGAATAATGTAAGAAAATAAGTATTAGTTAAAATAATACGTACTTTCCAAAAATACTTTTTATTCCTTTAGCACTCGATGATTTTGTTTTATCCAGATTTGTTCCTGATGATTTTTTGTATAATGAATATTTATGACTTGGTCCATCAGAAATATATCCACTCTGATCAACTTCAAAGAGAAAATTTATAAATGGAAATAATTATCATCTTCTATTCATTGCTAAGTACACACTATTAGAGGATACACCTACGCGAATGGGCTCTTTCATCGGATGGTAATGTTCTTGTGGATGTTCGTTGTTTATCACGTACTGGAGTCTAGATTAATAATTGTAATCTATCAAAAAATTCAGATAAAATTCAACTAGATACATACACTAATTTCTCTTGTAATCATCGGTTCAGCACTACTGGCCTAAAACATACACATTTAATTTTGTTGTGTAATATTTAGTATATCAAACACTCTGACATCAGTATGTCTCATTTACCCGTTGAAGTACATCAAGTCTTAATTTTTGTCAATGGATTGTGATAGGATACACTAGCTAATGTATCGTGTCTGTTCTGAGTATGAGTTTTGGATCTTGGTGGTGGAAAACTAGACGTCTTTGAAGGTTCCTGAAAAAGTTCCATAAATTAATCGAATATATTGGTCTATTCATTTACACTTCATTCTTTTTTTCCTATACTTACTCGTGATTCTTTCTCACTACTCACAGATGGCAATGAGTTACTGTCTGAGTTATCACCATCTGCTTCGTAACCTATGTAAAAGATAAATTGTTTCATTTTGTTTTTATTAACTATTAATAGTTACCTTTTTTTACCGATGATGTATTTGTAACGGGTGGCTGATATTTTGCTAACTGCTGTTGTAATTCCTCAATTTTCTTTTCCTAAGTAGACATTGATTCTTTAGACTATATGTCAAGTAGAAGAATCAATTAGGTGGTAGAAAAATCCTTGATTATAGATCAATACCCTGTCATATTCGTAGGGAAGAAAGACGTGACACTCTTGAAGAAACAATTAATTTTTGTCAGCAATTCTCTCTTCTCCATGATCACAAAAAAGATTCATACTGTGGATGAGACGAACCATGATTCTTCCCTAGGCAACTGTTCTGACGATAGATCTCCTGTAGTATGCTGACATTAGAGCTTTGATTTGTGTGGCTGACGGGTATTGTTAGAATCCTAGATTGTTTTATCCTAAATGAATGTTAATTTAAACATTATCAACATACTTTGTCGTCGTTTGCTTTAACTAATGAATCGATTCGACGTTTTAATCGTTCAACATCATTCTCTGTTATTTGAAGAAAAAACATGATAAGTTAGTGGAAGATACGATTCATATACATTTTCTCTCCTTTTAGTAAAAACAATATAAAAAAAATACTTTCAATGACACGATATTTAGAAATGAGTATACACATGCCCGTAAGATGTCTAGGGGAGAACATATGACTATGTATATATGAAAAGAGAAGGAAGAAAATAGATGACAGATGCCAGAGAGTCTGGTGAACTAGTCTGACCTTGAGCAACAACAAATTCGTTACTTCCGGATATATAAAAGTGAATTCTTACCACGAACAGAGTAACGTGATGGAGACGAAGAAAAACAATAATCACGACTATAAAGCGACAGAAATGGCTCGTGTATATGCGGTTTAGGTACGATATAGTTCATTTTTGTTTTAATAATGCGATTTTTGTATCGAGACTAGATGATCAAAAATATAAAATTAATGCAAACATTTGGCTGATTTATTTGCTCCTTTTGGGTTATATTATATGTACTGGAGAGAAGATCTACTATTATTTATTATACATAGAACTATTACGCGACGTACAGGACGACCATAAAAAAAGATTGAATGGTTGGAATGAATACACCAATGTATCTGTTTTCATCATACGAGATATTTGCTTGACCTTGATGATTGCATATACGTATCTTTTCATTATATATGAAAGAAAAAAGAGAGGGAGAATAAATCTTACTTTCTGAGAAAATTTGGAGCTGATGGTTCATGATGATGTAATTTTCAAGTGCTATTGATCATCGGTAACACAATAGAGATAAACAATTGAGATGAGATGATGTATTATAACATTATTTATATTGATAAAAAGTAGAAAATGAAACTGTTATTGATAATTATTGCGAAATATACGGCAATAAGCTGTTGTTTAATCATAGACAGAATAATACCCCAACAGCTTTTTATTCTATTTATTTGAAAATGCTGATAATCATCTGTCTAATGATTTATGGAATGCAGACTTTCTATTATCTTACAGTTTCCCACAAACAAGTCGTCACCACGGAAATGTGAAACAACCACAAATGGTTCTTGTGTGTAACCAGTCATATCATAATGGCCTAATAAGTTCAACATATTCACAGTCAGCTCCTCACGACAGAATTCTCGTCTGTTGACGTTCATCGAGGAAAGACTACAGCCACGTCATCATCCACTGATACTCTCAGTGATTACCGTAAAACTCGACTCCGAAACATCACTCTCACTTGAACTGTACAGAAAACATTTTTGATGTCGCGTAGTGAACGGTTCAAGATTTGAGTGAAGAATAGACGAGCAGGAAGAAAGTTGTAGAGGTGTCTCTTCATCACAGCAAACATATGAAGCGAGCATTATCCTAGCGAGATGTATAGCAAGATCGAACAGAGGGAGAAAGTAGTATACGAATAAAGTGTCTGCTAGTGTAACGCATTTTAATAATATACGGATTTTTGTTTTGATGCTTAGCATTATTTTTTGTAAACTCAGTAACTCGACGTTGCAATATAAACCATATCAGCCGTCTTAAGTATCTCGTTCCTTGTATCCGACTGACGATCTCATGCACTACATACCGTTGGCGATCAAACTTTCAGTCTGATGTAGTTTGTCGAGGTGGACAATTTGCAATGCGTTAAACTAGC